AAAAAAAAAAAAAAAAAAAAAAAAAAAAAAAAAAAACACAAGAAATCTAATGAACTTATACTGCTGAGTGAAAAGAAAGGTTTTTGACCAAAGGTCAGGAACCAGAAAGCCACAGACTTATCTATAGCAATACCAAAAGTACATGATAGACCATTACCTTCAGTATTCTGGGATGAATTCATGTCCTGCCCAGCTAAAATACTAATGGTTTAAATCTGAATTGTCTGTGCCCTAATGGTGAAGATCTTGAAGGCTTGAGGAGAGGTTATGGGGAAGGTGCCAACCTCATCAATGGATCAATCTAGATGTGGTTATAGCTGAATGGATTATTAGGAAATGGGGCCTGCTTGTAGGAAATAAATCACTGGGGACACACCTTTGGAGGATATAGCTTGCCCTGATTCTTTTACTTTGCCGTTTCCAAATTCCAGGATGTATATATACTTTATGAATCTGGTCCAAATTAAGCAATAACTATTGAGAAATTAGGGTGTGTGAATATGTTTACTTAGGGAAAGAGAGGAGCAAACAGGCAGTGGCCAGTAGAGCTAAATCTTATTCTTACATAGTGGGAAATCAGTGCAGAACACCCTCTAAAAAAAGAATGAAGAATCAAGCAACTTCAGCTAGAATAAGAGTGGGGGTGGGAGAGTTTAATTACTTCTGAAGGTAATAGAATAGCAAAATGGAGAGATTGAGCTGAGAAATAGGTTAAATACCCTACATAGGTATGCTGTAAACTGTGTACACTATACATAAGGTACATAACTATAGCAGTATCGGTTATCGTTCTCAACTTGAGGAGGAGATAGTCTTCAAGAGAGAAGGCTCTGGGCCTCCTAGTCCAGTAATTTTGGTATTTTCGGATGTAATGTTATAGTCAGTATTCTTTGTCAGTTCTCACCACAGGAGTACTTCCATGCCCCTGCGATCTGTCAGCTGGGTGACTAGTTCTGTCCAGTGTGTTGAAATTACAGATGATTGACATGTGTGCTACTGCAAAACCATACATGAACAATAATTTCCAGGCTAGCCTGCGGTATAGCTTGAACTACATGGGTGGACACTGTATCGAAGAAAGAAAAAAAATTACTATGGTTTTGAGCATTGTCATTTATTTTGAAGAAATTTTCTTTTTCCTCTAACTAAAGAACCTATAAGATAAAGATTACCTTATTAAATTTAAATTTTAATTAAGTTCTGATTTTTTTATTGGTCTTGGGTTTTGTTACTATTTAGTTCTAATGTAAATCTTGTTGGACTGTTAAACGAGGTTTTGTTTTTGGCAATATTCTATGAGTTCCACCTTTTTAGGATTATTTTTGCTAAGATCAATAGATAAATAAAATAATAAAGAGAAAATTTCTGAAACTGATATATCAGCCAATACCAATTTTTAAATTCCTAGTGAATTACAAAGGATTTTGTCATGCTTTGTGATAATTATATACCAGTCTCCAAAGATCTAAACGTATCCATGATTCATAGTCCTCTACAAACCGTATGAAATCAAAATGTCTGAACT